AAACAATTTCTCTCTGCAACACATTTGGTGACATTTTTACCAGTCCACATTCTGAGATTTATGCCATAAAATGACCATCATAATAGTGCTGGTCAAATGATTTAGCAGCTGAGGGGAAATGTCTGCCCTGCATTTGTTCCTAGGTTGATTCAAAGTTGGAGTCTTAGAGCATAGAGCAGAATGGCTACTTTAACTGTTGTAGTAGAGTGTGCTGGTCAAGCTACAACTGGTAGTAGAAGGGGAAAGAGGGCTGCTCAGGTGTTGGAACAAGAGCAGCAAAGGAAACAAATTAGGCAGATATTCCTGACACCTACAGATACTGAATCATTTGAAGGTTTCTCAGATTCTGAAATGGAGGAGGAGGGAGAAGGGAGTAGAGGTTTGAAGCAGGTTACTCGGGAGCAAGAGTCAGATGAAGAACGGGAAAGGAAGTGGATCCGTGAAATACTTAATGCTCCAGTTGAGGAGGAAGACTTTATGGGGTTCATGGGGAGTGATGGGACTGGGAGTTATAACGGAGAGGAGGATGGGCTGGACTGGACCTGTGTGCAAGAGATCAGGGACATATGTACACAAACAACATCTAGTGATGAGTTTGAAGGGTTTTCGGGAGACTGGCAACCTGGTAATACATGGGGTGATCTAAGTCTTGATAGACGCTGGAAAAGTTGGAGGGACGAGCGGTGGCGAGCAGCTGTGGAAGCTAAGGCAGCTGAGAGTGATGAAGACAGGGTGGAGAGCAGTTCATCATCCGATAATGAGTTATAGGATATAAGAAGGCATCAAACATTGGGGACTTTGCAGTAGGCAAAGTGTTGTTTGGGACTTTGTTGCTGCCATTATTTTCACTTGGGTCCTGGGACTGCAGATTGCTGTGTTTCTGTGCTTCTACAGACTGGAATCTCGTAAGTGCTGACTTCAACTCCCGTTTTGACTCTAGATTGTTTTTGGATGGCGACATCGCTTCCTGGACTTTACCTTCTGCTTGTGAACGTGTTATGACTTGGGACTGTTTCTGGACTACGATTTTGCTTGCTTCCACCTTGTTTTCTCTTAGTT